CACAGATACACATATAGGCAAAACATCCACACATAAGATCTTAAAGATGAATTTTATGGTACTTGAATTATATCTAAAGAAAGAACGAAGGGTAGGTGGGTCGAAAGGTTGGTTGGTTTGAGACAGCATCTCATTGTGTAGCCTAGACCTGCCTGGAACTTACTATGTGTCCCAAGGCTGACCTCAAACCATGACAATCCTGCTTCGACTTCCTGAGTGTTTGTATTACAGCTGTGAACCACCATATCTGACTTGGTTTCTTCAGTCTTTCTGGCTATATATATATATAGCCAGAAAGACAGAAAGATGGCTCGGCAGTTACGAGCACTTACTGTTCTTTCAGAGGCCCCACATGGTTGCTCCTAACTAGCTGTAACTCCAGTTCCAGGGCATCTGACACCCTCTTCTGACCTGGTGGCACTAGGCACACTAGGCACACATGTGATACAATGCATCCATGAAGACAAAGCACTCACACATATAAAATAAAAAGATAAAAACTTTACAAGTACAAGGGCAGTGAGATGGCTCAGTGGATGGAGGCCCTTGCCACCAAGCCTGTGGAGGACCCGAGTTTGATCCCCAAAACCCACAGAGTGAGAAGAGAGAACCAAACCCCCCAAGTCGTCCTCTGACCCCCACACACACACTATAGCACTGGTGACATGCTGTTACACATACCCACAGAGAGACAGAGTGTCTTAGTTAGGGTTTCTATTGCTGCAATGAAACACCATGACCAAAAAGCAAGGTTGGGTTGATTTGGCTTACACTTCCACAGTGCTGTTCATCACTGAAGGAAGTCGGGAGAGGAACTTAATCAGAGCGGTAACCTGGAAGCAGGAGCTGATGCAGAGGCCATGGAAGGGAGCTGCTTATTGACTTGCTCCCTGTGGCTTGCTCAGCCTGCTTCCTTATAGAACCCCGGACCACCAGCCCATGAATGGCACCAGCCACACCCATTAATCACTAATTAAGAAAATGCCTTACAGCCAGATCTTATGGAGGCATTTTTCTCAGTTGGGGTTCCCTCCTTTCAGATAACTCTAGTTTGGTGTCAAGTTGACATGAGACCAACCAGGACAACACACATACACACATATAGTAATTTATGTCTCCTGTGTGATGAGGCCCAGTATATCTACCATGCAAACTCTTTATCATGGCATGTGGTCTTTCTACGGTCCTGGGGATCAAACCCAGGGTCTTGCACAAACTGGGCATACGCATCACCTGTGAGCCACATCCCCAGCCCAATTATGACCAATCTTGATTTACCCAAACATCCACATATTTCCTGAATAACTGGAGCAAGATCTTAGGTGCATTCATATATAAATATATATTTGTATTAGGAAGACAGGGTCTTTCAAAGGCACAGTCAACATTGTTACATCTGAAAACGTAATGTTGAGTTAGCAAGGTCAATCACATCCAGCCAGTATTTGCACTTCCATTTAGATGTGTTCTAATAGAAGCTCTAAGTCACTCCTTAGTCATGACTACTATTTGACCAGATGAATTCAGTTCCTTGTAAGTAAAGTACTTATCACCACCCAGCTACAGTTTGAGACTGCTGTGGATGTGTGAGGGAACAGCTGCCATGTGGCACACTGAGCCTGAAGGTTGGACCCCAGCCCCAGGTGACCAGTAAGCCTACAGAAGGCACTGTGGGTCTGGCCAAATCCTAGTGCTCTGGAGTCTCAGGTTCTTCTCCCCCTCTCTGCTCAACCTCTCAGTGTGTGGCAGTCATGTGGCACAAGTGTCCACCAACAGGACCCAGCATCACAGAGAGCAGGAGAGAGACCATTCTTCCATAGATCGCCAAAACAGACAACCCTGTAAGGGAGGGCGGGCTTCCCCACCACATAAACCCACAGTGGGACCTGGGGGATGGGTTCATGGGCTAACCTGCAAGCTCCTCTCCATTCTGGTTTCACAGCTTCTCCAGGTGCTAAAAAAGAACTCCACCACAAGAAAGAAAAGAGGGGGAGGGGCTGAAGGAGCAAGGCCAAGAGGTCTGTGGCTCAGGAGCATTGCACCACTACTCCAGATACCACTACGACCGACGTTGCAAAGCAAGTCTTAGTCTTCGGCAGTTTCATGCATAGTTACATAATGTATTTTGACCACAAACAAACACACACGTATATAAATATGAAATCTTTGGTTTTTAATGATTTCAGAGTATTGTGTGATTGGTACTAGTCTGAGTGTTAGGGAAGCATCAGTGACTTACATGAACCTCAATCTCTGCTTGGAAAGCCTCCCATGCAGAATGGGCTTTCTGAGGTAGCTGCTGAAGGTGAGTTCTGTGGATCATTTACATGAATGAAAGAGGATTTGTGTCCCTAGGACTCTCGCTTTCATTTGGCCATTATTCAGCCCAGCACTTCCCTGCGCTCTCTTCCCTCTCTAACAAGCGACAGCATTTGGGTGTGGGCTTTGTGTTTTTGTAGTGTTAAGTCTCTCTGCTTTCTTGGGATGTTATTCACTCTCTGGATTTTTCTCCCACGTGTTAGGGATATTGACTTTCATTTTAGAAGTTAGCATAAGCAATAAGTGCTTTTTAGCTGAGCTCGCTGTCAGGGCTTGGGCTGTAGCCCACTTGGTAGGTGCCTGCTTAGCATGCTCAAGAAGGCCCTGGATTTGATCCCCAGCACACATACACTGGGTATGGTGGTACACACCTGTCTGTAACGGCAGTTCCAGAGGATCTGACACCCTCTTCAGGAGTCTGAGGGCACTGCATGCACATGGTGCTTTTAAGTAGTACACACAGGCAGAACACCATTCACACTAACAAAAATTAAATAACCGACACAAACATCACCTGCTATAAGGAATCGCCAGCTCTGTGTATGGCAGTAGTGCCTGCCGACCGGTCACTGTGTGAGAAGCAGTGGGCTAAGCTCTTCTGTGCGCTGAGGCTGTCACCGAAGCTCTGGCCCTGTGACTCACACTCCTCTCCGCATCTGCCCGGTTTCCTTAAGGGGAGCGAGCACGCACATGCTCTTCTCCTTGCCGCCTCTGTTCTGACTCACTCCAACCTTTTCAGGTGTCGTCTTCCTCCGTCTTCCCCATGGACTTTGACAAGGGGCATCAGCGTCTTCTATTTGTTAAGACACAGATTCACACTGTAGCCCAGACTGGCCTAGAACTCCTAGGTAGCCCAGGCTAGCCTTAAAATTGCAGCAGCTCTCCTATCTCAGCACTACAGATGCAGGGATTGCAGCGTGCACTCACGTGCCCAGTTCTAAGTCTTTATTAACGAACCTGGTTGTTCTGTCTAGTCATTGTCCCTTCCTGCCATCTGCTGTCATCTGCACACGGCTGACTGCTTATTCCTTGATGATAACGTCAAACAAGGATAGCATATTTATTTATTTACTTACTTATTTTTATTATGTTTATTTTTTATCTGGGGAGGGGTGCACACGCATGCCAGTGTGCATGTTGAGGTCAGAAGACAACTTGAGGGAATCAATTCTCTTTTTTCCATCCTATGGATCCAGGGACTCCAACTCACGTTTTCAGCTCGGCAGCAAACAGCTTTACCCACTGAGCCATCCTGCCTGTTCAATTTTTTTTTATTATTATTACTTTTTTTTTCTTTGAGACAGGATCTCACCATGTAGCCGTGGCCGGCCTGGAACTTGCTTTATAAATCAGACTATCCTTGATCAGCCTGCATCTGCCTCCAGAAGGCTAGGATTAAAGATGTGTGCCACCACACCTGGCTTTTCAGGTTCTCAAGTTTTAAAGATAACCTTTTGAGCCAGGCAGTGGTGGCACACGCCTTTAATCCTAGCACTTGGGAGGCAGAGGCAAGCAGATCTCTCTGAGTTCAAGGCCAGTCTGGTCTACAGAGTGAGATCCAGGAAAGGCTCCAAAGCTACGCTGAGAGCTACCCTGTCTCAAAACAAAAAAAAAACAAAAACAAACAAGCAAAAAAACTTTTGAAAATGCAGAGCCCTGTCTAGAAACTAGCCAGTTATTTCAATTGGCAAATATGTCCTGGCAATCAGGTGTGGGGACTTGTTGGGGGGGGGTACCCAGAAGAAACTAAGAGCTTGTAAAGGAAAGCTGGGCATGGTGGCACAAATTTTTGTTTGTTTTTTTTTTTTTTTTTTTTTTGGTTTTTCGAGACAGGGTTTCTCTGTGTAGCTTTGCGCCTTTCCTGGGACTCGCTTGGTAGCCCAGGCTGGCCTCGAACTCACAGAGATCCGCCTGGCTCTGCCTCCCGAGTGCTGGGATTAAAGGCGTGCGCCACCACCGCCCGGCGTCGATGGCACAAATTTTTAATCCCACATTTGGGAGGCAAAAATAGGTGGGTCTTTGTGAGTCCAAGGCCAGTCTGGTCTATGTAGAGAACTCCAATCCAACTCAGAGGAGTTGTTTAGAAGATGGGACCCCTTCTGCTTAAATGAAATGGAAGTGCAAGATCATTTTCACACTCTCCTATGGAGTGGCTCCTCTCTGGATATCAGGTCCCGGTTGGAAAATCAGGAGGACTCCACTGTGTAAATTCAGAATGTGGTCGTTAGATCACAAAGACAGCTGAGTGTGGGGCTGGGCCCAGGGCTCTCTGCAGAGCCCCCACTAAAATAATCACTACCACCGAGGATTGGAGTGAAGACGAGGGAGGGGTCAGAGCAAGGATCTGTCCTTAAAGGGACACTAGAACAGAGACTGTCTTCTTGTGGCATGCCACTCACTCCTGTTATCCTCGATGTCACAAAGCAAGGGACAGGGGCAGGAAGGAAGACATGCTGACCACAGCGGAAACTCAGCCACTTCGCCTCACCATGGAATTGCCTGCTGGTTGGGAATTGTTCCATAGTCTTCAATGGACAAGCATGCGGTGTGGTCCTACGCTGCTCAAAGTAGGAACTTCACCTTGTAAAGCAGAAGGGTGGTTTTCCCCCCCTTCTTCTTTTGTGGTTTTACACAGCAGAGGAGTGTCAGCCTCAGTTACAGATGAAGTGAGACGTCAGGCATGGAGGCGTGAGTGTGCCCTGTCATTCTGGCCCCGCCTCCCTTATCCCTTTCATTTGACGCTCATTACTTGAAAGAATCTTCTCGACTGTTTCCATGTGTTGGCAAACAGTTCTGTAGAATCCAGCTGCTGGGAACCAGCCAGCAGCATGCAGTGACATTGCATCATCGGGCCCTGAGGCCAGAGATATCAGCTGGAGAGCCGAGAGGAGCCTGCACACATCACCGACATGAGAGGCACCAACATCAGGGAGGGGGCACCCAAGGTGAGTGGCGGCCGGAGCTGTGTGCGGGAGAGGCAGCAGTTGACGGCTTTTTGTCTTTGGGTCTCTTATGAAGGTGAAGGAGAAGTATTAGTAGCAGGCAGATTTGGCTTCGAGATGACTGAAAATGACCGGGAGAAATCAGCCGGAGGCAGACAGCTCAAGCCTCCACTGTGTGTCTGTGCACCACCCAGCAAACTTCTTAAGCAAGATGTAAAGCCCTGCCTCTGTCCACACCATCTCTTCCCTCTCTCCCTTTCTCTGCGTCCCGAAGGTGCTTAGTGTGGCCTATGGATTCTGATTGGTTTGGTCACTCATTTATTTCCCTTGAACAGAGAGAGCCTAGACCTGGACTCTGCTCTTGTTAAGCCTAGTGAGGATGCCCATGGGCTGCCTTCATGTTCCCTGGGTGCTGGGGACCTGAGCTTTGGTACAGACTGCAAATCTGGGCCACAAACCAAGAGGCATTCCTATGTAGCATGGCACACTGCCACCCTAAGAAGAGTGCTGGGCTTGAGACACAGGTCAGTGGCTAAGGTGCTTGCTGTATAGGTATGGGGGCCTGAATTCAGTACCCAGCACCCACATAAAAAGCCAGGCATGGAAGCCTGCACCTGTAACCCCAGAAATGGCAAAGTTGTGACAGCAAGGTCCCTGGAGCTGTCTGGCCAGCTTCCCTGAGAGAAGCGACTCCAGCTTCAGACTCAAAAATAAAGTGGGTGGGTGGTAGAGAAGGATGTCTTGACATCAACCTCTGGCTCACACATCCTTACCACACACACACACACACACACACACACACACACACACACACACACACACACACAGCGGAGGGGGAGGGGTGACCGCAAAGAAAGTAAAGCTCACAGTTGTTGCTTTTCTGTTCTGTCCTATCCTTTCAAGAATTTAATAGAATGATAAAGACAAGGGGGGATGGAGCAGTTGCTAGGCAGGGAGGCTGCTTGCTGGAATTAAATATCGGGTGTGATGGCAGCAAGTGTCAGCTGTGGGATGCAGGGCTGGGTTCTGTGACAACTCCTTGTTTAGATGACATGGAAATATCTGAGCTGAGAATCTTGCCCCACTGTTCACTCTGACATTTTTTGACACACTGGGGAAAGGAGTGGTTTAGCCGAGCTCTGCATGTTTCACCCAAAGTCATTGGTCCCCGTGAGTTTCTCCCACTTACAGCATCTGTGTGTGGAGACACAGATGCAGGACAGCTTTGGGCACTGTTGTTGTTTGGCTGTCTGGAAGTGAATAGCAAACACTGCACTCTTCTGTCCCGGGGTGGGGGTGTAGTCTGGTCGCTAGGGCGCTTGCCTCACAGGCACAAAGCCCCGGGTTCTGTTCCCGGCACGGGCAGCACATACCTGGAATCCCACCACTTGGAGACAAGAGGATGGATGATTCAAAATCATCCTCAGCCATGGCTACCCAGGCTTCATGAGACCCTGACACAAAGCAGCAATAGGAAATGCTTCATCCCTGTGCATTTGAACATGTGTCCCTGCTTTCACATCGATCTTATGAGCCCATTTGAACTTCAGACTGTAACCATGTTCTTTCTCCAAGAACACGTTTTTTCACCGTTTTGGTTGTGATTTATGGGTCTGTTTGTCTGTCTTCATTCCAGAGTCACACTTTATACTCTCTGCCAGGCCTTGTCATTAATCCAGAATAATCCATTTCCTATTTTTCTTTCATGACTTTATCACTTGTGTTTTATTTTTCCTGAACTTTTGAGATGTTTTGAAGATTTGAATCCTCATTTTACTTACACACCAGTCTTCCTGCATGTTTTCTACATCACTGTACAATCTGTAAGCAGCGTGTCTATGTGCATGTGTGTGTCTATGTGCATGTGTGTGTCTATGTGCATGTGTGTGTCTATGTGCATGTGTGTGTCTATGTGCATGTGTGTGTCTATGTGCATGTGTGTGTCTATGTGCATGTGTGTGTCTATGTGCATGTGTGTGTCTATGTGCATGTGTGTGTCTATGTGCATGTGTGTGTCTATGTGCATGTGTGTGTCTATGTGCATGTGTGTGTCTATGTGCATGTGTGTGTCTATGTGCATGTGTGTGTCTATGTGCATGTGTGTATCTATGTGCATGGGTGTGTCTATGTGCATGTGTGTGTCTATGTGCATGTGTGTATCTATGTGCATGTGTGTGTCTATGTGCATGTGTGTGTCTATGTGCATGTGGCCTAACAGACATTCTGGGCATCGAGGTGCAGCCCACTCTTCTGTTTGATGCAGGTCCCCAATGACTAACTGCTGTCACTCACTGTATGTGCAGCAGGTCCTGCATCGAGCACTCCAGTAACCCTCACTCCCTCAGGGTGTCCTCACAGCCTTCCAGTGAAATGGGTATGACCCTCACCCTCATCTTGCATATGAGAAAACTGCTGAACACCCAACGGGTTATCAGTGGCCCTGCCAAACCAAAGCAGGCAGACTGCACCCAGCTCTCTAGTTTTCAGCGGGCTCACTGTGGTCTCCCCTCAGACAAGGGATTGGTAAACTGTGTCTATAAAAAGCCAGCTAGTGCTGGGGAGAAGGGAGTGTGGCCTGAACTCTCAGCTCTGGAGAGGCTGAAGCAGGATGGGGTTGCTGCAATTTCAAGGCCAGCCTGAGCCACATAAACCTTGACTCAAGAAACAAACAAAAGGCCAGATGGTGTTTCTTGCTTTGCAGGTCCCATGCAATGTCTGACTATTTTGACAACTCCTTAAAAAACGTATACTGATTATTAACCCACAGATAGGTCATCCAAATTTGGAGCTGTAATCTCAGCTCATGTAAGATACTCCGTTCCAGTACAGTGGTGCCGAGTGGGGACTCAGTCTTCACCTCCTAGGCCAGACCTCCATTAGCTAACTATTAACTCTGTTCTTGGGTATCTGTGTGTAGCTGGAGTTTTCCTGTGTCCCACCTGGTCTGCAGCTGCTCAGATCCAAGTAAACACACAGAGGCTTATATTAATGAAAACTGCTCAGCCATTAGCTCAGGCTTACTACTGACTAGTTCTTACACTTAAACTCAGACCATTTCTGTTAATCTATATGTCACCACGTGTTCTGTGGCTTTACCTGTGTGCCATTACATGCTGCTCCTTGGACAGCAGGCTGGCGTCTCCTCACTCAGCCTTCCTCTTCCCAGAATTATCCCACCTATATTTTCTGCCTGGTTTCAATCAGCATTTTATTAAACCAGTGTACAAAAGCATTATCCTACAGCATCTGTGTAGATATACATAAGCACATGTATTTCTCCTCTCTCTCTCTCTCTCTCTCTCTCTCTCTCTCTCTCTCTCTCTCTCTATCCAGGGTCTCACTAGTTAGTCCTGGCTGACCTCAAACTCCTAGAGATCTATCTGCCTCTGCCTCTGCCTCTTCCTGCCTCTAGAGTGCTGGAATTAAAGGCATACACTGCCATACTCAGTGTCATATACTTTTATTACACCAATGAGCAGGAGCTGTGAGTTGACTTTGGGGCTTATTGCTGTTTATAATATAATCATCACATAATGTAATATACTATAATCAACATATAATAAATAATTAACATATAATATAATTAACATATAGTATAATATAATCAACAATATGCATTAAAGACCAGATCCATTGGTACAATTTATCTGAGTTGGCTTGGCCTCATTAATTGTTGTTTAATTGTTTTGTTTTTTAAATTACATTTTATTTATTTTGTTTGTGTGTGCATGTATGGAGGGTGAGGGCCAATGTCATGGCATGTGTGGAACCAGAGGACAACTTACAGGAATCTGTCCTTCCACCATGTGGGTCCCAGGGATTGAACTCAGGCTATGAGGCTTGGTAGCAGGAGGCTTTAACCACTGAGCCATCTCACTGGCCCTCAGTTGCTTTCCAAATGGGAGTGGTGCTGGAGAGGGTTCTACCAAGGAAGTAGTCCTCTTCTTTGGTGCCCCTCACCACCATTCTGGGCCACTTACCCATTCAGACCCCAAGTTCAAGTTTGCCCCCTGGAGGAGGTAAATGGGCCATTTGTTTGCTGCTGCTGTGGCTGCTTCACTGTTTTTATAAGACAAGGGGGACATTTAAAATTAAGTGTGATATTAGCAAGAGGAGGGCCTGGGGACTTCAGCATCTACAGATGCAGCAGGGAGAAGCCCACGAGTGCAGCCCAATGGGGAATCGTGGGGAATTGTCATCTCCTGGTCTACTGGCTGGCTGACCTCCACCTCCACTCAACAAGTGCTAAAAATGGCTCAGCAGGTAGAAGGTGCTTGACACCAAGCCTGGAGACCTGAGGTGGATCCCGGGGCGCGTGGTCAAAGGAGAGAACTCACTCCTGCGAGTTCTCTGACTTCCACACGTGCGCTGTGGTACATGCCCATGAATGTGCACACACATGAGCACACATACAATAAATACATAGACAGACAGACGGATGGATGATAAGTGGTTTAAAGGATGCTAGAAACTTGTTTAAAAGGACAGAAGGAGCTGCTATTGTGGCACATGCCTATCATCCCAGTGCTTGGGAGTCAGAGGCAGGAGGGTCATCTGTTTGAGGTCAGCGTATGCTACAGAGGAAAACCTTGTTTCAAAGGGGAAGAGACAGTAAATAAGGCATTTATTATATATGAGTTCTTATTTTGACTTCTTGGTGTTTTTAAACTGCCCTGTTGTCTGGGCAGTATCTGGCACAGCCTGCAATCCCAGAACTGGGGAGATGGAGACAAGAGGCTGGTAGTGTAGGCTACCTGAAATCCTGTCTCCTCTAGCCCCAAAGACGGTTATGTGCTCACTGGTCTCTGAAAGGGATTTTCAACACATCTTTGTCGTGTCACTGAGAGTGCTAGGTCCTATATTCACCTCTAAGGACATCTAACGTCTGACTGTTGGGGATTCTGTCCTGGGGGTAGCAGCGGCCTTCCTCCCTCGCCCCTCTCAAGAAGATCTGGGCAAAGACTTAGAATGAAAAACAAAGCCTTCAATGCGCATGAGGCCGG